AAAGCAGGGCTCCATCACATGTAACAGTTACTTGGGATGACAAACGCCGTTACTCCAAACGTCCCCCCCTCCTTCTTCTTCCCCCAGCTTTATATGCTGAGCATGACATCATATGGTATGGAACATCCCTTGGGTCAGCTGTACCAGCTGTATCACCTCCCAACTTCTTGTGCACCCCCAGCCTACTCGCTGGTGTGAAGCAGAAAAGGCCTTGACACTGTCTAAGCACTGCTTAGCAATAATGAAAACATGCCTGTGTTATCAACACTGTTTTCAGCACAAATCGAAAACATAGTCCCATACTAGCTACTATGAAGAAAATTAACTCTATCCCAGCCAAAACCAACACACAATGAAATAGAAAATAGGCTGGGTGACTTCTGAAGTCCCTCCTAGTCTGGTTCTCTTGGTTACAACAGGTGTACCCCGCAAAACTGCCCCATAATGACAAATACTGGGAGTTATCCAGGTTTAATGAACGTGTGTGTTAATACAAGAGATTAATGCAGTTTGCATCTTTTATCCCATTTCATTAAATGCTGTGTCTTGACGTGGTGTCTGAGATGCGTAGCAGTGCAAACCCTGGTTATCTAATGGTCCTGCTTTTTAAAAAAATGTTGGTGCATGCAAATGTGCAAAATACCCAGTACTGTGGCTAAAATGAAAAGAGATTAGCAGGTCTTGTCGCAATCACTGCGCTGCATAGCACCTACCAGGGGATCATACTTCCTTGGGATGTGCTAATAGCATAAGCTGGTTTGGGGGCCTTAGCCCAGAGTTTGCCACAACCCTTTGTGGTCCTGTCTCGGTAAAGCAGCACTTACATTCGTTGTGATCCATACGTGTTTTTCCCTCCCCCCCTTCTTATAGCGCCTGACCAAACACACCAAGTTTGTGCGAGACATGATCAGGGAAGTCTGCGGCTTTGCACCCTATGAGAGACGTGCTATGGAATTGCTGAAAGTTTCCAAAGATAAACGTGCTCTGAAGTTCATAAAGAAAAGGGTAGGTCAATCTGCCATCTTAATGAGGCCAGCAAAAACTCTGCTATTGTTAACTTTGTTTTCTGCCCTTCGCTAGGGATACTTTGCTTTTTAATTAATTCTCTTATTTTCTCAGTTGTTTGGGAAGTTACTGGTCTAATCTGAGGCAGTGGAGGGAATGTTCCTGGGGTTGGGTGGGAGAGCAGGAGATGGACATAAAGGTACTTTGCCAAAAAGGCCCTGAGCTACACGAAGCCAGACTTGCCCTGCTATTTTTGCGTTATTTGCAAATCTGGTCTGGGGAAGAGGAGGGCAATACTGACGGAGGTTGGGTACCATTAACCAGGTAACTTGAAATGGAGTTCATTGAGGGCAGCCATGAGAGCTGAAAGCAGCTTCTACCTTTCCCAAAATAACTGAGTAGAACTACTACTGAGATGGGATGGTATGTTGTTCCTGGCTGGCCAGTCAAGGTGGATGGGGTTTGAGTCCATGTTTACCAGAACTTCACCATCCTGCCTGCTTTTTGAGTAAAGCAGCCTTCAGTGAACGCCTGAAGCAGCCAAGAAGTGTTAGCTGTCCTCTGCTGGGATGAATGCTGACTGCACTGCTCTCTCCCCTGCAGGTTGGCACTCACATTCGGGCCAAGCGAAAGCGGGAAGAACTCAGTAACGTCCTGGCAGCCATGAGGAAAGCTGCTGCAAAGAAGGATTGAGTTGTACAGGTTGTAACTCAATAAAGTCCTTTCTCACAAAAACAGTGTAGTGACTTGATGGCACATCTGCTTCAGCCTGTAGGAATGGGGTGCTCCTGGGGCTGCTGAGGAACTGTGCTGACAAGGCCCTGAACTGCAGTAATCCAGAACTTGCATTGCTATTCTATTTTACCTGCTGCTAGAGTTGCTGATATTAGAGTTGCTGGTACTAGCCTGTGGTATGTTCTAGAGGGGGAATCCTCCTCCAGACCTTGCGGAGCTAGCCTTTCTCAGAATGTGGAAGCCTCTGCAATAGCTAAGCTTGTGAAGGCTGTGATACCTCCACCTCCCAGTCCATCTCCAAACCTAGATGCCTGTAGGAGAGAAGTCAGTGGACAAAAATTGCTGTTGAAAATAGTAGTAACTTTGCACTCCTTCCCCATGGCACTTCATCCTGTTCCTTGTGCAGCTTTTCTTGCTCATGCGTTTCTCTGTGTACCCTCCATTCGTGCCCTACTTTCTGCAGTATGTTATCAAATCATGGAAGAATTGCAGTCAGTAAGAGCTCCCTGAATTGCAGCAGGATGATTCTTTATTCTCCACTAAGGGTGACCTTGCCGCGAGACAGCATGAGTGCTGTTCTTCCTGCACAAGGACATGCATTTCAGGTAGACTTCATGTAACTCCTCTCCCCCTATTTAAATTAAGTTTTTCTAGTATTTGCCTTAAGATGAAGTACTCAAGTTCTGTGGCCCAAGCCTGTGCTCATTGATGTACAACAGTCATGCTAAGACATTTAGTTCCTTTTTTCACTCGGTGAACATAATACAGCTGCTGCAGCAGCAAAGACAGGCTATGGTAGAGTGCAGTGCTAACTGCTGCTACTGAGCACATGGCTCTTCTGTCTGTGCCTGCTCTCTTTAAGCCTGGAGTTGTTTCTGATGGTATTGACCTGTGATTTAATCTGGAGAACCACATCCCTCAGGAGCTGAAAGTGCTAGCTCTGCTGAACTGTCCTAAAATGTCACAGTTTCCCCTCCAGCCTAGTACAGGCTTATAAGCCGAGACAGGGAGAGGCTTCTGAGAGGTACTCATCTACCAGCACATCAGGAACACTATGTCAGTCATAGCCCTAGCTCTGTAGAGTTAAATGTTTTTGCATAAGTGTTGTTTAGAATTATAGTGAAGTAACTGTAACATCTTTAATTAGAAAAGACTAGACTAGCTCTACTGCTGGTAGCAGGTAACATGCACATTCCTTAGGTAAAATTTCACAATTTTATTGGAAATACTTAATGTGGATCATAATTCAATATTAAAGAGTGAGAAATACTTTATTCTAGCAAAGCCATAATTCATTTCAGCAGCTGCGCAGCAGCAATAGCTCCATGTCCCACTTCAGGATTTCCCCAGGTCACCCCATTTCTGGGTGGGGGCTGAGCATTAAGGGACAGACCACCTTCCAGCCATTAGGTTGTTGAGTGTCATCCTCCAGTAGAATCCAGCTTTGAAAATGCTATATCAAATACCTCTTTGTAGTGCTCAACAAAATGCACTTCTAGTCCTTCTGTAATGAATCCAGCAAGGTCGTAATAATCCTTTTTATTCTCTGATGGCAGAATGATGCAGGTAACACCTGCCCTCTTCGCCTATGGTGAAAAGAAAGTTATGCAGTTTGTTGAGTCCTAGAAATCCATCAATCTACCAGAAACACACTCTTCCGCTTTAGAAACCAAGAACAAGAACAGTTATTTAGGAGCATGATCTGGCTTTACTTTGGAGAGCAGCAAGGGCATTACTTACAGAAGATGTCACTAAGGACGGATCATGTTCTAGATCTCCCCAGGCCCCCAAAACACACACCCTCTAGTCCCACCTTCTCAGCTGCAGGGACAGCTGAAGTGGCAGCAGATATTTTAGAAGGGCTACGTCAGCACATTGGGGGATTGTTTAGAACAATTAAAAAATCTTTTCCAACTTGGGTGAGGATAAACCCTAGAATCAAAGGAGGAATTAGAAACAGCTTATCAGACCAACCCACCACATCAACATGCATGGCCCATAGCACCTTTCTACAGAACCTTTTGATATGGACATCTGCATTGGAAGGAGCACAGAAAGTGGAGCCCGCTCATGAAGTGGCAGGTTTGTACCCACTCACTTTGTGGGTGATCCTGCATTTACCCCTGGGTGGCCACTCGCGCTCGTCCAAGTGCAGCCAGTCATCAGTGCCACAGACATCCCTACCATATGTTAGTCCTTCTTTAATGACTACCACAGAACAAAATACAGAATTGCCCATTTTAAAGCCACATGAGGAAAAGGAATCCCATTGCACAAGGCTGTAGCCCAAACAGGTTTGGGGACAGAACACTGATGTGAAGCCCCAGCTCAACAGGCTACTGAAAGAGCCAATACCATTCGTGAAGACACAAAAATGTGTGTGATGCAAGGCTTATGTAGGCAAGAGCTGTGCAGATGAAAAGTACAGAGAGAGATGCAATGCTTGGAGAAGAATTCTGAAAACTGCAAATGGTTGAAACTAAAAAAACAAGCACCACTATAAATCCAGTGCTTGCAAGAGTGCTTCAGATAACTTGATCTGTATAGCTTACTAAAACAAACTTCACAGGGGAAAATGCAAGACATTAAAAGTTCCTTCCATCTAAACCCAGAAAAACATAGGGATATCTATGTGAAATTTTAAGTCAGACAAATTCAAGCTGGAACTAGGCAACACAGCCTTAATGTTAAGGACGATACCTTACGGATACCATCAAATCTACACTGGATGCCCTCCTTAAACAGGTACTTCAACCCAGCACAGATTATTGGACCATGCCAGTCTGTGTTAGAGAAGACAGCTTTAACAGCCAGATGATACCTTCTACCCTTAATTCTACCAGTCTAGTAACTAGATCAACACAGATGCCCTGGCACAAAGCCTGGGGTCCCATCTTCCTCACAGCCAGAGACACAGGCAAGATCCCCATGTTCCCCCAGCAGGCTTTTCCACAGTGCGTATTGAATCACTGCCTCTCCCACTACAGGAGCAATCACTCTGGGTGTCCCAGTCACTGCTGAGCCCAGTCGAGGGTGCTCTCCCACAGATGATGGCACAGAGACAAGAGAAGAGCTCTTACCGCAATAGTTTTCTCCTTGATTCCACCAACAGGAAGAATTTTTCCAGTTAATGACACCTCTCCAGTCATGGCCACATTCTGCCTCACTGGGCAATTCATGGCTAGCGATAGCAAAGCTGTTACTATAGTACATCCTGCACTTGGTCCATCCTTTGGTGTTGCTCCCTGTTTTAAAAAAAAAAAAAAAAAAAAAAAGGCAAAACCCCCCTACCTTTAGTTCATTCAAAGAGTAGCAAAGCCAGACACTACCTTTGTCATTGCTGTTTGAACATGGCCCCAATTTCATGGGGTCTCATGAAGGTTTTTTACAAAGTGTGACTGATGGAATCCTGCTATTTGAATTGGCTGATCTATTAACAACTATGTCAATCCTCACCTTATTCGTGAGGAATAATCCATGAGTCTACAGTTTGGTTTCTGGCCCAATGCCACCACAATACTTATCAGGCTCAGGACTTTGAATAAGCAACATGAGCAAAAAACCAGAGCATGAATGCTTTGAAGCTTTTTGTTGACTTAAGTCAACCATGGAAACAAGGAACAGAGGTCAGCATCACATGGGAAGTGAGCATCAAGAGTTACAAAATAGTGGAGGACAATACTGAAAATCATTCAAGGCAGAGAAGATCATTCAGTTTAGAAAACCCAACAAAATCCAGGCCTAAACTAGTGACAAGTCTGGATTTATCTGAGACCAAACAGATCTTTGAGGTAAGAGCAGAAGAAATGAATGTTTGAGAGGGATCAGAGGCAAAGATAATGTCTGATGTTTTCTGATCCTCCAGGAAATGAACACACAGATAACATGAAGTACTTGGACAGACACAGAGCAAGCTGCGACAAGGAGCCTGTGGACTAGGTTAAAGCATGCAATAGGTCAGAAGCAAAGCTTGGGCACAATCATAATACAAAACCTGCCTAAGGTAATGCACCTGCCCAAAGGCTGTTACAGTGTATGAGACCCTCTGAGCATTGTGAGCATTTATTTTCAGTCCCAAACACTGGGAAAATGCAATCACTGCCATTATATGGACTAGAAACCATGGCACAGAGGCCAAGAGTAGTATTTTCAATTAAGTGTAAATGAGCTGAAGCCTTTATGAAGGCCTGGTAACAGAGACCTAAACTTTGGTTTCCTTGTAGCTGCATACAAGCTTTTATTCAAATTGCTTATCTCTATGCCACGGTTTCCCCACCAGCACGACAGGGCCAACAGCTACAACAAAAGTCTAGGATTCCTTACAGCATTATCCAAGCCCCTGTATTCTTGCCACATGCTTGCTGCAGAAAGGAATGGAAACATAGCTCGTAAGAATGATTTCACAAGATCCTGAGGAAAGTGTTGTCTTTTCTAGGTTTTACTGCTAAAAGGGCATTCTGCACAACATATGGACAAATGAAGTGCTTTCCAGCTTCATGTCTAGGTGGAGCAAACCAGCCTAGCTGCTATGCATGCTCTGTGAATTCTGCATCAGTTTACCTCTGGCACATGCAAGTGGATATGGGAAGACATGAGAAAGTCATTGTTGGGGTCCTTCTGCATCAGAAAGGCTCTTGCAAACGTGTAAGCTATTTTGGCACTCTCTTTCATTACATCTCCCAGTTGTCCTGTTACTTCAAGGGACCCATCCTTGTTCTCCTTGTCTTTGGGTCGCCTCAGAGATGTTTCAACAAACAGAGTGGAACCTCCTAAGAAGAGAAAAACAACATCCTGAGAAAAGTTAAAGGAAAACTCAAACCAGGAGGTTTTGGTGATGCAGAAGCAATGTCAGTAATTTGGAACTGGGGCTCTCTGATGAGACACTAGCTCTTAGGTAAAGAGCAGTTGAAACCTGCTCTCTGAATCCCTTCAGGAAGGCTAGCTAGGAATCTCAACAGCACTGCACTGACAGTCTCCATTCATTGCTCTTTTGGACTTCA